ATTTTTTTTCAGAAGCCCATAATAATAAATTACATTTTTATTTAAGGGAATCAAATTCCATTTAAAATAATTATATATTTAGCAATACAGCTTTAATTTTAAATTACATATATTTGATGCACTAAATATATTTGTACTTCATTTCAATTTGATTTGTATATTGATTTAACATGAATTTGCGTTCACCTTTGTTTACCACGTTGCAGATACAATCATCGCATTCAGGTGCTCGATCCGCAAGGCCGTTTCCTGCGCGCCTTCGGTTCGCAGGGCATCGCAGATGGCAAATTCAATTATCCTTGGGGCGTTACAACCGATGCACTCGGCTTCATTTACGTATGCGATAAGGAGAACCACAGAGTGCAGGTGAGATGCTGCATGGTGTTTATCAACATGGGTGGGAGAGGGAGTGCGAGTGCGAGTGCGAGTGGCAGTGGGAGAGGCAACGGGGGCGAGGCAGCAGGAAACGGCAGCTCAAAGTCTTGCCCAATTTGTCACACTTGAGAAGGCTGCCAGCCGGATGCTGAGACTGCAGCTGCCTACGCCCATAGCCACGCCCACTCAATTTTCATGCGCTTAACGCAGCCAGAGCGCGCTGCCTGCCTCACTCTCCCTCTGTTCCTCTCTCTCTCTCTCTCCCAATGTCTCTGTTTCTCTTTACATTTGTTTTATTAAAAAAAAAAACAACTATATCGTGGTTCAGGTTTTCCAATCCGATGGTTCCTTCGTTGGTAAATTCGGTTCCTGTGGCCGTGGCGAGGGCCAGCTTGAGCATCCGCATTATATAGCCGTATCGAATACGAATCGTGTTATTGTTTCCGATTCGAATAACCACAGAATTCAGGTAAGCTGACCGAACGGAATTTAATTGGAATCTGTAACAGCTGTTACCTGTCTACCTCCCTCCCTCTCTCTCTCTCTCCCCCTCTCCATCTCTCTCTCACCCGTAGATATTCGATGTTAATGGCAAAGTGCTGTCCACTGTGGGCGGCGAGGGCTCCGATGATGGACAATTTAAATTTCCACGGTGCGTATACTTAATATATTATATATCTCTATACAAAAAAATTAATTACTGTTTTTTTATAGCGGCGTGGCTGTGGATGATCAGGGCTATATCTTTGTGGCCGATTCGGGCAATAATCGCATACAGATCTTCAATCCGGATGGCAGCTTCCTGAAGACCTTCGGCTCCTGGGGCTCCGGCGACTCGGAGTTCAAAGGGCTCGAGGGCGTGGCCATTATGTCGAATGGCAATATTTTGGTATGCGATCGCGAGAATCATCGTGTTCAGGTCTTCTGAGCCACGACCTAGCCCAACAACAACAATTTATTATTTCAATTTAAATTTTATTTTGCAAAAAAAAAAAAAATCAAAATTTATAACAATTGACAAAATTGAGTTCACTTTTCTAGTCCTAGAAAAGAACAACTACAAAATTTGAGAAAAAAAAATCGAAAACTTGTTAGAAAAATCAGCTAAATATATATCGACTTAATATATATATACTAGCTGGCCCGGCAAACGTTGCATTGCCCTCTATATTATTTCTAGGTAAAAAATTGTTGAAAGCTATGTTGTTCAGGCTGGGATACACTGATAAATTTATTAATCGGATTTTCATTCAAGCACCTTGTTGTAAACGACATTCTTCGTTTTTTGGTCGGGTGCAAGAACAAATAATGCGGATCGTTTGCCAACACGTGAGCATGCCACGTACAATTGACCATGAGAAAAACACGCATTTTCTAGATTGAGGCCACAAATAGTCAAAGATTGGCCCTGTGACTTGTTGATCGTCATGGCGAAGGCAAGACGAAGCGGGAATTGAATTCGTTTAAATTCAAAGGGCATATCTGTTGAGCTCATCGGAATCCTAGGAATAAGAACTTCCTCATCTTTAAATTTTCCTTTGAGTATCAACGCGTGAATCACATTGCTCATCAGTTTTCTTATCACCAAACGCGTTCCATTGCACAGTTTTGGTTGGTTTAAATTTCTAAGCATGCAAATCATGGAGAATTGCTCTTTTCATAGCTGTGTTCATTTCTTGACGCCGGTCAAGTTGTTCTTCCATATTGCCCATGAAGTATATTTGCAAGAATTTTTGCTGTGCATCTTCAATAGGTTGCAATGATCCAATGCGATGGCAAATCTGGCCTTGAATCTTTAAATTCAAAGCCATAGTTATAGTTATATTTACAAACACTATTTACAGAAATCTAACAAACTACATTATTCAAAATTTTTTTTTGGCAGTCATAGAAAATAAAATTTTTAACGTAAATTACCTTAAATATCCGTCTCCAATATTTTCCGCCCCAAATTATGTCATTTGGAAACAGGCATTGTATTTTTGAGTGTTCGCTAGAAAATGTCGTGATTCTAGTGTTTCGCCATAAAGCAGGGAACGCAATGGCTATGGTGACCGCTAATGGCAATGTCACTTTACCACTAAGGCAGCACAAACCGGGCGTTTCACCAGCAAACTTCAATGCGCCACAATGCTAGCAAACAACGTCCATTGGACCAATGCAAACTAAACGATTCAAGCTGTAATCAATGGTGCAATCATATCGAAACGCTGCTCGATTCAAATCAATCCTTGAACCATTTCTTATTGCCATTTCACGGGCTGCCTCTCTTTGAGAAGCACGAATTAAGGCCCTTCTTCCCTGGGTACTAACGCGGAGCCTTTCTCGGGCGATTTCTCGCTCNAGAATCAACAGCTATTTTTATGGGCTTTTATTATAGACACAACATATTGTTTGCTATTAAAATATACTAAAAATCAGGGTATAATAAATTTTAATTTCAATGAATATTTTATAATTTACTTGCGTTAGAAGTTGAAAATAAAAAAAAAAAATAAAAAAAAATAAAAAAATTACGAATATTAATATATAAATTGCTCGCCAGAAAACCTAAGCCAAGCATTTGTTTTTACTTGTAGCCCTAAAGTCACTAACTAAAAACACATTTATAGTACTTGAATATTTAAAATAAAATATACATTAAAGTATATTCAAAAAAGTATTTTTTGCTTTTTAAATTAATGTTAACATTCTTCAGACGCTTCTCAGCTGATACTTCCAAGTTTCCAGTTTTCCAGCTAAAATACTCTTACTTTTTGCGTAGCACAAAAATTACAGCTTTTTGTGAATTGACACCAATACACTTACACGAACACAGAAACATGCACATTCACACACACACACACACACACTCAGTCATTCTCACTCTCGCATACAAAGCACGCAAAATGTTGCGAATTCAAGTGAGTTTTATGTGATTAAAATGCATGTGTTGTGTGAGTGTTAGTGTGTGTGTGAGAGCGCTAGTGTGTGTGAGATAGTGTGTGTGAGATAGTGTGTGTGAGAGCAAGTGATATGTTAAGTGTAGAGTGCGGAATTTGCCGTAGAGCTTTATGGCTTACCGTTGCCTCTCACAAATCGTCTCCTGCTCCTGCTGCTCCTGCTCCTCCTGCTCCACATTGAGAGCTGATTACATAATAAAATTCGTTGATTTGCAGTTGTCGCAATTAACCTTTGATTGGTGCAAGCCAACAAATTACAGGACAGCCAACTGACACGCCTACAGCTACCGCCACCTCCTCCTCCTTCTGCTCCTGCTCCCAGTGCATTCCCACCATCTAATTGAATCAAAATGCGAACATTTCACCATGTCACGCAGTAAATACGCCTTTCAATTAGCACAGCGAGCCGAGGCCTCCATATGTGGTTGCCACAATGTATTCATCCGTACGAAACTTGCCACATTATGTGGCAACTGGCAAAAACGAAGAAAAACCGTAGATAATTTGTTAAAGTGCCTGGCTTATTCTATTTTGTTTTTTGTTTTTGGTTGTTTTCTTTTTTATGGCTGGCGCATATGAGCCCAGGTGGGCGTGGCAACAGCCACAAGTTGCGCCCAGCCGCATAAATTACAGCTGCTCTGAATGTGTGGGTGTGTGTGTGGCACGATTCGATTTTTTTATGGCTTGTAATTTTTATTTGCATGTATCACGTGCCACGTCGCCAAATTTCATTTAAATTAACTACTGCCAATGGGCGGCAGGGGCGTGGCGCGCTCTCATTTAATTGGAACACGTTCCGGAACAACAACAACAATAACAGTTYGCTTGTTTTATGAACACCTTCCCCAACTCTGGTAGATGACGCGCCGTCAAATTGCAATGTGCTAAAAAATTATTCACAAAAAAAAAAAAAATAAATAAATAAATAAAAAAATTCTTTCTGCACTTAAATGTATGCTGCAAAAAAAGAAACTTAAAAGCACAGTGGAAGAAGAAGGCGAACTGGAATAGCAAGGCACTTAGCAGTGAAAGGAGGGGAAAGGATCGCTGTATAAGCGGGCGAAGAGCGAGTGTTGAAGGCAATGCTGAGTAATGGAAGGAAGGGGTAAGGAAGAAATTATCGCTTTGTACGGGAGAAGGCATTGCTGAGTTGTGGAAGGAACGGACAAGGAGGGGAAATGTAAAGCAATGCTGAGTAGTGGAAAGAAGAGGCGAAGCGCTGACAATCCATGCAATGGAACAGAGAGGAGAGTCAATAACGACGCTGTGGCGAGAGCCGTTGCTGCTGAGCAGGGAGAGCAGCTTGTGCGGACTGTGCCGCTATCTAAACACTGGAATGTTTAATCTTTTTACAGCCGCCGTAACTTTTTGATTTTCATCGCTTGCGGCATTTCGATTTTCATTTGTTTGCACAAAACGCTTTGCACTTGCAGCCCACAAAGGTCGCACACACTCACACACACACAAATAGAGAGAGAAACAGCAATTCACTTGGCCTTGCTTGTTTGCTTTTGCAATAAACGCACGAAATCAATCCATGCCACAACTGAGTGGCATGCCCCCAAAAACACTGGCCATCGCCAGAGCCCTGCTCCACCTCCACATCCACCGCGAAACCCCCCTTTCCACTTCCACTTCCACTTCCACTTCCACTTCCACTTCCCTTCAGCTAGTGCAATTTTGATGTGCGTTCGATTTTTGTGCGCTTGCTTTTGAGCGTTTTATGAGCTGGTAAAAGTTTATGTTGCATGCCCCCAGCCAGCCAGCGAGCCAGCTGCTGTTGCCACAAACTGAATTTCCCAAGCGCGTTTTTAAAGCGAATTTGTGCGAGTGCAAATAAATAAATTGAAAACGTAAAATCTAAAAAAAATAACATAAAACGAGAGCAGTTCCAGCTAAAACAGCTCAGAGCTTTTGTTAACTGTTAATTTTCAGTTTTTCTCATTTTTGAAATCTTGTCTCACTTGCACTCATACTTAAGTCTAGTTGTCCTACATACATAAAAATGTATATAATTACGAATTGCCTATATTCTTCAACTTCTGTTTGATTTCAATTCTCTTCATATGAGTGGAATATTGTCCATCTCGCTTACTCATATACTGTAGTGAGCAGTATCCAAAAGTACCAATTCGCTGCGTTCTTCTACTCCACCTTTGAATCTAAATCCTTACTCTAAGCAGAGTGAGAAACTGAGAGTGCGTTAGCTACAATTTCGCTCTGCTCTTCATCACTCCTTCTTTGCCTCTCAAATCTTACAAGAAGTGTAAGAGCAGTGCAAGCAGCATTTCGTATCCCACTCACACATACTAAGTGCCTTAGTATTGAGTCGCGTATCTTCCAGACGGCAAACATACATATGCAACGCGGACGCAGCCGAAGACTGCAGTTGCGATCGGGCGTTAGAATGAAGAAGACGTGCGTGATATTCTTTTTGCATAAGTCAAAGTTGAATTCAATTAAAAATTGATATTAATTGCAGTGTTTGTTTGGCTTATAAAGTTTTTTTTTTTTTTCTTTTTTTTTGTAAACGTGTCCCATAAATAGTGCTTAAAGTAAATTTGTGAATATGTATATAAAAAATTCATGTGTATGTAAATGTTTTACATAAAGTGTATCTAAATTTTTTTTTAATGTGACGTGCCTAAAGTGAAAAGTTTCTATTTGATTTCTTCGTTTTGCTATTTGCTCGACTAAAAATTTCAAATATTTGGAATCTGCCTAAAAGGCGACATAACGGTGAGTAGCATAATAAGTGAAGAGCAAGAAAATTAGCTAAATACTTTTGTTCGCACGCCGTCTCCGTCTCAGTCTCCGTCTCTCTCACTCGTTCGCAGGCAACTGTTGCGCTGCTTTTACTTTTGGTTTCGTTTTCGTCTCGCGTTTTAATTCCTCTAAGCGTTTCGACGCAGCTGCTTTGCCTTCCAGTCTGAACCCTTTTCGCTTATTACTTTCGGCGGCCAGTTTGAAATGTGTTTTTTTTTCCTTCATTTTTCTTTAGTGTGTTTTTTTTCTTCTGCATTTCCATTCGCTGCACAATA